TCTTGTACAACTGCAGGGAACTCTGAACGCATACACGGAACACGCAACATGCTGCTCTTTATTGAGCTACCAGACATTTCTTTCTCAGCCTGTCCAGCAAAGGACTTCTCCAAAGACAACAGGAAAATTAAAATCAGGATTTGCCACCGAGCTCCCAGGTGCAAGCTCTTTTTGCACTCAGTAGCATGAGTTGCAGCAACTGCACAAACTGAAGCTAGTAACAGGCAACTTTGGCCTGTGAAACCATATAGATAGAAGATGAGTCTCATTGTGAAAAAGTGTGGTTCAGAGCTGAGTTTCTCCCCGTGACTAGCAGATGATTGCAGAGATATGGAGCCAGTGCCTTCCATTAAGAAGAGGGAACATACAATTGGGAGCAGGGTCTGGGGTACCCAGACCGGGGGACTGAGTTGTATGAGAGCTGGAATGCAGGCTGCAGCTCCCTGTGCATAAAGAAGGGTCTGTGCAGCACAAAATCAGAAGCCAAGTCATTTGGGCAGGGCAGGCTGGAAGTTGGAGCTGCATATGCTGCTGTGGGAAGCAGCAAGGTGCAAGCAGCTCTGGTGGGCACTTCCCCACTCCCAGCTCTCAGCATGGGCAAAGATCATTCTGCTTTGATCACAGAGACAGTGTTTTTCTTAGTGTAGATGAGATAAGCTGCCAACCATGTAGTGACCTCAACCTAGAGGAGACACTTGAGGACATTTAGTGCAAGTCTGTGGACTTTGATCACATTGCTTACCATCATTCATGATGGGGAAGCCATTCACTAGGTTTCAGCCTCCTCTACCCAACCCAGCTCCCTGCTGGTGATCCTAGCAGGTGTCAGTCACTGGTAGCAAGGAATGGAACTGATGCTGCCTAGAGACATGATTGAGGGAATTAATACCGGTGGGGAGAGAAAAAACTGTGGGGTCACAGAGGCAGGATTAAGGGTTATTAGCTCTTATAAGAAGCCCCAGCTCAGACTAGTAGAGAGCTGCAGGGCAGGAATGAGGGACACTCAAAGAATTGTGGTTGAAAATGTGTACTCAATTCAATAGTTTCACCTTGATTTGCCTCATTTCCCAGCACCAAAACAAGCTCAACAGTGGAACAAAAATAAATCATGAGTCGAGTCTTCAGGTAAAGATTTTGCAAGTGCAAGCCTGGAAAGCCAAATTACTAGTGAAATGCATAATATGGTACAATCTCAGAGCACACCCAGCAGCCAGATGCCCTCGATTCTGCACCAGTGGCATCATCTACAATCCTGCAGTATGCAGCAGAGCTCAGTGCAGGCATCCAGGCTTCATAAATCCACCCACACACATTCTGAACTCCTGCCTTCTCTCCTTCCCAATTCCTTCACCTGACCTTGGTTTATTAGAGGTGCAGCCTCTATCCTTGCTCTCATCTAACATAGGTGTAGCCTCAATGACACTCACCCCAGGTGCTTTAGAATTGCATTTGCAACCTCCTCACCACCCCACGTCCTGGAGATGTCCATCCCAGGTAGGCCCCACACACATCCTCACAGCTTTCATGTATCTCCATGGTGCTGCACATTCCACACCACAAAAGGCAGTGCTTTGCCATGTCACTGCTGAAACCATCTCCACGGGCATCCACAGCTGCATCACTGAATGAGCTGGCAGCTCTAGGGACAAGGCCCTTTTTGCCCACTGTCCTGGACTGGAGTAAAGGGAGTGGTCTGTGTGGCAGAGGTGCCTGAGCAAGTGGGTCTGTCATCCTCCAAAATAGGATGAGGAATCTTTGTGGAATGAACACAGAGTAGAATGTAACCTGCTTATTGCAAATCCACACTTAAATATATGCTTATGCTTAATGTATGCTTGTATTAAATAAGCAGATAACATACGCATATGTACTTCTAATAAATAAGCACATGAGCTCATTTATTTGCCTGGGTCTAACTGCAAGGAACTCTATTGTTCCCCTGCTTGAGGTCTCTGTGCAGGTCAGTGTCCGTGGGGCATCAGCCCTCCTGAGCAGAGAAAGTTTTGCTGCTTGAGGTTTTCACATGAGGTGAAGCAGGTGTTTGTGTTTCTTCATGTTCAGTGTAAGAAAAAAACAACTGGTGATGTTGGCACTTGTGTCAAAATGTGATTTCTGAGCAAAGGCTGAATGGAAAAAATACATATGTATTTATATCAATACACACCAACACACCACTTCCTGTTGACTAAACAAACAAGCTCTCCTCTGCTTTGGAGCCAGGTAATGACCTTTAATTATTCACCACATTTTTTTCTCTGATTTCTTAGTAGTTTGCTTTCTGAATCTTTAGTAACAATAATGGTGATATTCCTCTTCTCCCCCTGTGCTGCTCTTCAGACTGCTGCTCTTTGTTGTTCTCACTTCATTACAGGGAATAGAGCCTTGAGCACAAGAAACCAGAAGTGATGCTTGGACACCCTTCTGTGATCCTGAGAAGCTGGATCAGTGTCTCTGCTAGATAGCACTCCAAACACACCAGTACAGGGACCCTTCCTAGTCTTCCCCACTAGCCTTTAACTGACCCAGGCTTTGATCAGAAACAGCGATGGAGTCACCTTCACTAAAATTGTTTTTCTCTGCCACTTCCAGTCCCTTCTCCCTCAAGCAAAAAGAAAGGAAGAACAGAGTTGTCAGCATCTTTCCTCGTGTATTAGCCCCCAGGCAAAATTTAAAGATTAGGCAATTTATAGCTAGGGAGGAAGCTGGACTAGCAGCTAGGTCAGGGATCAGCAACTTTTCAATAGCTTTCCAAACTTTTTTTTTAAATGAAAGCAGAGGCAACATTTGCTAATGAGCGAAACCTTGCCTTGGCAAGAGACTGCAGTTCCTGCTTTAGCCAGAGCTGCATATGAGCTGAGGATCCCTCTCGAGTTGTCACCCTAGACTTGCTGTGAGACACTGAAAACACACCAACACCAACATGTGTCTGCTCGGGGGTTTAGAGGCAGAGAATCACTGCCACTGACTTTGTGCATTCATACCTCCAGTGTGAGGGAAGTTACTGGTCTAAACAAAGGCATTAGAAATCCTACATCAGTATTTAGACTGGAGAGCCCTGTCACAGAATGTCATAAGTTCATATGTTTGTTTGTTCGTCCTTTCTTTCCTATCCCTGTGGAGAACAAAGAGGCTTTCAACATTTAAGGAAAAGAGCTGATGTTTTAAACATGGAAGAATGAATTCCACCTTCAGGCAGGACCAGAGAAAGAATCTAGTTAAATGTTCTATGAGACCTGCATGTTAAACCTCTGAGAAAATCATTATGCACAAACTTAACTTATGGGGAACACCAGGCTGGCCATGAAGATATTTCTTGACTCCTTTCAGATCAGGAAGTGTTCCGTGAAATTTTCAGAAGTTTCTGGCTATGGAAATTAGTAGCCAGAACAAGAAGAAAGCTGAAGATACTTTATCTGATGAAAAACAAACAGTTTTGATGGCTAAGAAGCAGATTTCTCAGGGTGTGTTCCTTTCCCTCCTTGCCTTGCCCCTCCCTGCCCCTTCCCATTCCTTCCCTATCCCACCTCTTCCCACCCCTTCCCATCCCTCCCCTCTGCATCCCTCCCCATTCCTACCTTCCCTCCCCTCCCTCCCCATCCCTGCCCTCCTCATCCTTCCCTATCCCACCTCTTCCCACCCCTCCCTGTCCCTTCCCTCCCCATCCCTCCCCTCTGTTTGTCCCTGCCCATCCCTCCCCATCCCTCTTCCTCGACCTTCCAGGACTGTTTGTCCCCTTCCTGAGCTGTGCCATGCCAGCTGCTCTCAAAGAGAAGCACTCTCAGAGTGCTGGATGAGAGAGTCAGCTGCTCTGTTCTGGCTACTGATGTCTCCTTGTCATGGTTTTGCATATACTGGTTTCACACAGCCCAAGCATGCTGAGTGCCAGTACAATTAATAGCGCAGTAAATCAAGCAAAGAAAAATTGAAGAGCTACCCGAGCATGAGGTAAACAAAAGCTGTGTCTCTCAGCCGTAGCACCGCCCGCGCTCTGCCTGAGCCAGAAATGGAGCAGAATATCCTCCCGATGCCTCCTGAGCACCTTGCCTGAAGCCACTGCCCATCCCTCAGCTGCCCTTCAGCCCCGCGGCGGGCAGGGCTGGCCGGGCAGGTGCTGTGGTGGAGCCGGGGCTGGGCAGCAGGGCAAGCAGCTCGCACCCTGGGCAGGAGGCTGGGCGAGCCAGCCTGCAGCCACCCTCCCGCTGCGCCCAGACTGAGTCCCTGCAGCAGCAGGGCCAGGCCCGGAGTTATTTATTCCCCACTGCTTCGAGATGAGGGTTTGCCACTGTTCTTGGGATGCTGGGATGGCTCAGGCTCCCATGGCCATGTTCAGGTGCCAGAGCGGGACCGAGCGCTACCCAGGACACCCAGGTCTCTCTCTCGGGAGCCGGGTCCCTCTCACTCTCCCCTTCAGCTTTGCTCTTGCCCCGTGCTGCCCCCCAGCTGCCATGCCTTTCAGGGGCACGCAGAGAGGGGGAGAAGTCTGCCGACAGCCTGGTTTTCCCTGAGCTCCTTCCAGCTGTGCCCTGTGCAGGGCTCCTTTGGCAGCGGGGCAGGGCAGGGGCACCGTGCCCAGGTGCAGAGCTGTGTGACCCCCGAGGGACGCGCGGTTCTGCCCCTGCTCACACTGGTGCTGCACACGCTCCCAGGCCCCTCTCTAACCACTAGACAATGCTTCCTGCCTCGTTAGGTTATTGATACTAATTCAGAATAATTTTGCAAGGGGGGGGAGGGCCCAACAGGGAGGGCAGTGGGGGGAGGTGACCAATGAGGGCTGAGCATCTTTCAGAAGTGATGCCCCTTCACATCTCAACCCTCCGTTTTTCAGCTCCTGCAGCTCCACCACACCCTGGTGAAACACGGCGGGGGGCAGAGAGGGGTGAATGGGGAGGGGACAGACGGGGCAGCCCACATTTCTGTACATCAAGTCAGAGGGCTGCACAGACGGAACCTGCAAGACAACTTCCCTGCAATCCCATCACCTGAGAGAGACCCTGGCAGTCATGGACAGGTAAAACGAGTGCCTCCAGTTTCTTGCTCATGTAAGAAATTAGGGTCTTTCATGTAGAATTAACATGCTCTCCATTTGGTGGTCACCATCCCTTTACCTTTCCTCATCTGACTCAGTGATCTAACACCCTACCCTGTCCAGTTCTTGCACCTTGCTTCTCCCTGTGTCTGTCATTCTTTCGCTTTGACTGCCTCCCTGTACTCTTCTCCCTTTTTGTCATTTCTCTTTCTTGTGACTATTCTTTATTCCTTTTCATTCTTTTTCTTTTCTAGAAACAAAAAAGGTCTTACTCTGTTTCTGCTGCTCACACCCTTGTGCTTGTAAGCACAGATTGTTCCAGCACTGGATTCCTCTGCTTGCACTGCAATTACTTTGTGAGCTAATTGTGATCAAAACACTCTCCACAATGCTTGTCTGGACCAAATTATCCTTAAAGTCGCTTCCAACCTGTCATTCTATGATTTTATGATAATTTACACACACAGGGACCTTCACTCTGGTGTGATGATTTGCTTAATGAACCTTTTTATGAGGGGAAGGTCTCTATTCAGTCCACTTCTTCATTGTCCAGGTATAGTCACAGCTCCTGTGTCCTTCCTGCTTTCCCCAGAGGCATTCTACAGGTATAGGAGTTGCAGATGTATCAAGCAGTTTGCACCTAACTATACATCTGTTCTGTTGCCCCCTGTAACACATCTGAATTCGTTATTCTTCTTGTATCAGCCCCATTCTGAATCCCTCCCTAGCAAAGGAACCTCTCCAATGGTGAACTCCAGAGAGAAGGGAAAATGGGAACTGATGTTAATGAGCATTTCTAGTTGAACAAATGGCTTCTGGTATCTAAATTGTCTACACTTTGTTCTGACACTGAAAAATAACCCAAGTCGTCATAATTTTATTTTTTTCTGGATTTTGGGGTAGCTTCCTGTTCTTTACACTTATATGCATCCACGTGCTGCTCCACAGGGGCAAAATCATTGAACAGAGAAAAAAAGGAAAGAAATGAGAAAAGGGACAGTTAGAACAAAAAGATCAGAAACACTCTAAAGGCAAATATTTTTGCCTAAAACTTCACAAAAAAAAAAAAAAAAAGGGAAAGCCTGTTTTCTTTAAACTTTTTGATGTGTTGAAAAGTGTTTTTCTATGTGGGTTTGATGGAACATCAGCATAATTATAATTGGGTTTCACCTGGCTTATATGGTTCTTTAAAAAGTGGTTGCATTTTTCACAACTCCTTTGTTCCATTTTCTGCTCATGTGGCACACCCAAGGCAAGAGCTTTGCAAGCCTCTGGTCTACTATACCTGTTCATTTCCCATGTGACTGGGCTATCTCCTCTGAACATCCTGAGGATCCATCATACATAGAAGGGTGTCCCCTCTCCAGCACCACTGTTATGGGGCAGAGTCCTCCCCACATCTCTGCAGCAATACACATCTAAGAGCGAGAAGCCTGAGGTGAACCACTGGTCTTGTGAGGGGACCAACACGTGTTGTGTGTGTTAGGGAACAGGCACACTTGTTTATATAAAAGTAGGGAAACAGGGTGAATCTAAGGTGGTAGGAAGTGGGGCAGCTCTAAGCATGAGAAATAAATCAAAACCGATAAAGAGGAACATAACGCGCAGAAGAGAAAAGTGGGTAGGGGAAACGTGCACCCAAAGGGAACTGCCAGAGAAAGGGGTGATGAAATGCAGTGGGATCAGTTTGTGCTCTACTCCTGACGCAACCTGCAAGCCCAGCAGAGCAGAACTGGGGCAGTGTTTACAGGACAGACCTCCAAGAACAGCCTGAGGCTGTTGTTGGGCTGAATTTTTATTTATGCTTAGTAGGGATTATTTACTCTGAGTGTGTGCAGGACTCTGCAGAGCCTTTTCTTCTCTATGGATTTTCTCCTAGCAGGAGATATGCCACAATTCCCATGTCATCCACTTTTCTAGCAGCACGTGTGGCATAACTGAGCATGTGTGTGCTTGCTCTTTCTGTGCAAGCAGGACAACTATTTTTACCCCACGGGTTGAGGACTACAAGGCAGGAAAGAGGATGCACGCGGGTGGGGCAATCAGGATAGCAAGGGTGCTTGAGGAAAGACTGTGCCTCTCTGGAGATGCAGAAAATCCATCTCACTATCACTTAAACTAACCATATCCCCCGGCTGAACATCAGCCTGTCAGAGGGAAAAGACAACACAGGGCATGATTATTTTTAACCCGTTCACTTCTGTTTTGCATTACTGTGGGGGAGGTATCTCACCTCAATGAACACAGCGCTTTTCAGCTGCCAGGGTACCTCCACTTGGCAGTCAGGCTGTTAGATAACTTACCTTCCCCATGCTCCTGCTGCCTCTCCCCAGCAGGATACCTGGGCATGGAAGCACCCCTGCAATCATCTTGATGTTTGACTAACATGGGAGGGATGCTTGTGTCTGGAGAGGTGTCACCATGCCTTCCCCATTAGATATTCTGCCAGCCAGTGTATGGCACTCAACCTTTTGCACAGTGCTTGGAAAGTCTTCTTTAAAGAGGCTATTATTTGATCCACCCCTTGCCCCCATGGTTTTTAAGGGTTTCATACAACAGAAATAATATTTCTTGATGGCTGAACTCCAGACCATCTCATCTTCCCCAGTCTTCTCTTCATCCATCTCCCTCATTGGTGTCCATGTTATGGATATTTGCAGATATTATCACACTCTACGCAGCCATAGTTGCTGTTTGACTAATCACTACTAATTGGCTTACTGTTTCCACTCACAAGGTCACCTGCTTCATCCCCACAGTCACGTCTGCACCCTTTCCCTAACACTTTGCATGCAAATTACTGATGCTCTTCTTGTACTGAAAGGCCTGGACATGAGGAGGATATTTTTGGTGCTCAACTCTCAAAAAAAGTCATGGCCAACTCCTGGTTCCAGGGTGAAGCTAATGTAAATGCTCTCTTGCCTTTTCCTGCAGTCTCCTGATGAACAGGAAACTCTTCCTCTACAACTTCAAGAACCTCCGCTGGGCCAAGGGCCGACGTGAGACCTACCTCTGCTACGTCGTGAAGCGCCGTGACAGCGCCACGTCGTGCTCCCTGGACTTCGGATACCTGCGCAATAAGGTAGGGGGAACACCTTGGAATCCTCTCCTTGGATCCACGCTGAGGTGCATGCAACTCCACCTGCAGCAGCAGAGAAATGGGGGCTGCCACAACAACGCAGGCGCTGGCACACATGTCCACCAGCATGGACACTGCGCTGGTACTACTACTTGAGGGACGCAGACTCCAGATAACCTGCACTTTATAGAGTGGTTTGGGTTGGAAAGGACTTTAAAGATCATCTGGATCCAAGCCTCCTGCATGGGCAGGGACACCTCCCACTAGACCAGGTTGCAAAGAGCCCCATCCAACCTGGTCTTGAACATTTCCAAGAAAAGGACTTCCACAACTTCCCTGGGCAACCTGTTCCAGTGTCTCACCACCCTCAAAGTGGAGAATTTCCTCCTCCTGTCTAAACTGAATCTCCCTTCTTCAAAGGAATCCTTCTTCAAGGACTCCATGTCCTCTCTCTACGAGCCCTTGTAAAAAGCCTCTCCCCAGCTTTCCTGTAGCCCCTTCAGATACTGGAAGGCTGCTATGAGGTCTCCCTGGAGCCCTCTCCTCTCCAGGCTGAACAGCCCCAACTCTCTCAGCCTGTCTTCATAGCAGAGGTGCTCCAGGCCTTGGATCATCTTCGTGGCCCTCCTCTGGACTCACTTCAATAGATCCATGTCCTTCTTATGCTGGGAGCTCCAGAACTGAACAGAGTACTGGATAGGTGGGGTCTCACTAGAGTGGAGTAGAGGGGGAGATTCTCCTTCCTGACCTGCCGGCTGCACTTCTTTTGATACAGCCTCAGACACAGCTGGCTTTCTGTGCTGCAAGCCAGCTGTGTCCTGCCCCCAGCGGTGTTACCAGCAACATATCCATACTCCTTGCTGCTTTGCCAGCCTACCTGGTTTTCTGTTTAGCCCTCACCCATTTCTTCTGTTGTGCCTACACATCAGTGCATCCCTGTGCTTTTCCACATATGCACCACCGTGCCTTCTCCCTCTGCCTGCTGACCCGAGGACCTCCCGCCAACCTTGTTTCTCCACCCCTCACACTCCACCCAGCTCACACCTCCTTCCTCCCTCTTTCCCGCCCTGCTTGCCCCCACCTCACGCCTCGCCCCTCTCTCTCTCGGCGCAGATGGGCTGCCACGTGGAGGTGCTCTTCCTGCGCTACATCTCAGCCTGGAACCTGGACCCTGGCCGCTGCTACCGCATCACCTGGTTCACCTCCTGGAGCCCCTGCTACGACTGCGCCCGCCACGTGGCCGACTTCCTGCGCGCCTACCCCAACCTGACCCTCCGCATCTTCACGGCGAGGCTCTACTTCTGCGAGGACCGCAAAGCGGAGCCCGAGGGGCTGAGGCGCCTGCATCGGGCGGGGGCTCAGATCGCCGTCATGACCTTCAAAGGTGAGATGTGCAGGCCAGAGTGAGGTGGTGGAAAGCCGTGGGTGTTAGGGAGACCCAGGAAATTGGGAGAGGCTAGGACAAGGAGCCAGAGAAGATGATGGCAGGAAATGATGATTTAGTGGTCCTAAGAGAGGTCAGTGTCTGCCCTGGGGCAGTCTTGAGCACACTGTAACTCCCCTGTGTCTTGTGCAGATTTCTTCTACTGCTGGAACACGTTTGTGGAGAACAGGGAAAAGACATTCAAAGCCTGGGAAGGACTGCATGAAAACTCTGTGCATCTGTCCAGGAAACTTCGGCGGATCCTCCTGGTGAGGGCCAATTCTCATTCTCCTTCTGGTGCCTCTTCCTCTCAGCATCTTCCTCTCTTCCTCACTATAGTTCCTCTCTGGTCTTGCTACCCACCTCTGCCATCTGCCATTTCATGCATTCCTGTGTCTTCACCTTCCCTCATGCCTGTCCCTCTTAATTTCCTTTATGCAGCTTCTCCTCATTCTCTTCCTCTTTTCTCACCTCTCATCCCATCTCCTGACATTCCTTCCTCCTTCCCCATTTTCATATGAAATGGGCTTCTGCTCACCTGAAAACTAACCTACCATTTATATTCTGTCCTGCAGCCACTGTACGAAGTAGATGATTTACGAGATGCCTTTAAAACTCTGGGACTGTGAAGTGAAGGTATTCAGCAATCAGAAGATTTCACAAACACTTGTTCTTTGATTTCCAACTCTCTCCCTCACAACAGATCTTTCTCTTCTTTCCTCTTTACATCTCTCTTCCTTACAGCCCTGTCTCTAGAGATAAGACTATCCTTACTTTTCATTTCTGAGGAGAATTAGGCTGATCTTCTGCAGACATATTCCTCAGACTCACACGCCATCCATTGATAGCTGGGAATCAACAGGACTGCAGTGACATTGCCAGAAAGATATTTGTCCTCCCTTGGTCCCTGCAGAGCTAATGCAGGCAGTCCACTAAATGGAGTTCTAGGCTTAACCTTGCCCCAGTGGGAGCAGACAGCCTGCAAAGCTGTTTCTGTGACTGTGTTCTCACCTGCACCTCACTGATCTGCACATTTCATGAGCACTTCAGGGACCGTGGCTCTTGGCTCTTAGAGCTGCACGATGCTGAGCTGCTCTGTGCCCTTCCCTGTGAAATGTTGCATTTGTCCTTTTGGAGGTGGGTAAGAAGTTGAGAACCATTACCATTTAAGTGGTATAGCCTATGTCCTAATGGCAAAATTGACCAGTTACTAAAAAGCTCGACTGAGAGCATTGAAATGAGCTCTGGAAAGCCTGGGTAGCTTAGCTTGAAAACCTTACTTGAAGCCAGCAGATTTTCAAAGTGGACTGTGTGCAGGCCCAGGCCCTGTAGGGCTCCCTACTCAGAAAGGAGCTGTGAATCCAGGTTTTGTGCCCTAGGAGAGGTTGAAACAAGACAATAAAAGCCTAAAATGCAAGCAGAAGGTTTGCTGGCCAACATTTTCAAGTACAATCTGCAATTCTGGGTGTCCAGCAAGATATTTCCCATGCAGAAATAGGAAGCCCACTGAACTCCTGTTACTTATGATGCAAGCAATAGCAGCTCAGGGTCAGTACTGATGAGTGTGTGGCCCTCCTGACAGGCCAGAACGGAGCCACCAAGGCACTTCACTACTGAAATATTTTTCCAGCATACAACTACAGAAAAACACCCTTAATTTCCATATTGTGTTGTCCCTCAGACTTAATTTCTCATTCACTTAGGTTGAGGTTTTGGCATTGTAGGTGGTTCATTGGTGTCCACATCAGTTACCATCTGTTACTTGACAGTGCAGAGAGGAGCAACACATCTCCCACTACTGGAAGACTTTCATCCACTGAACTTTTCCTCCTACATCAGACCTGCAGTATGCTCCCTCCCTAGCTGTCTATACAGCCTGTAGATAGATATCTTCCACAGGGGGCAAAATCAAAGTACCCTCCTGCCTGGCAATAACAGTCTTTCCACTAGGGGACTCCATTAGTTCCTGATCTTGTGTACATAGTCCTTACCAAGTTGAGACATGGGTTCATGGTGCACACCTACTCACCACCACCTTCCTATGACCTAAATTAGAGATGGATTTCCCTCTGCAGTCTGACCTCTTGAGGCATTGCCAAGGTTCTGGGGGTGCTCTGTCATTTTCTTTATGATGGCTGTGAGTTGTCTGCTCCATCCTGCTCCTCTTTATGGGAAAGGCTGGAGGTTCCTGTGCCGCTGCTCAAAACACTTCCTATGGTGATAGGCCAGATGCAGAAGGACAGCAGAGAGTCCTGCTCCACAGTGCCTCTTCCTGTTAGGAAAGGTCACAGCTGAGTGCATCACAAGCTTTCTACAACTTCAGGCTCCGGAGGCACGCTCAGATTGAGGAATTTTGACCAGGAATAGCAGTGAGAGGTTTTTTTGCAAAGCATTAATTTGCAAGCATGGTGTTGTATATTTGTTTGATATGGTGGAAATTATTTATATAAATAAAGGTCTTATATCTGCTTTTGTCATTATTTTTGTACCGTTTGTGTGAGGGAAGTAAAAGGTGACGTAAAGGATTGACATGTCATCTATCCTTTCTGATTTCTGGAGACATAAACTGACACGAACCTATTAAAGTATCTTTATCCTTTTCACTTGGAACTTCAAAATCGTTGAAAGTGTCACCCAGCAGATCAAGATGGATAAAGAGTTCAGGCAACAAGTGCTACCAAAAATCTGTAATGTAAGTGCTAGAGTTGTTTAAGATACTTCCTTCATTGATTACAAGCCTATCATCCCCATTCATGACTTGTAATTGACCAAAGTGCACACAGAAGTGCTGACTCAAAATATTTCACAAAACAAAAAGAGAAGCAGAGATGTGAAAAGTACCTCGGTCTTTCAACTTTTGGCATTGACCTGTACTTTTGTCCTCAGTGAAATTATTGGAGAGGTACTACAAAAAACAGCCTTTTCTAAAAAAATCAGTTGAGACACTGGTTTTTGCTTAAGTGCTGGCAAACGTTGAGTTGAAGATGAGGGGACTGAGTGCTTCAGCAGCAGCTTTGCAGATGACACCAAGTTGGGTGGCAGTGCTGGTCTGCTTGATGGTAGGAAGGCTCTACAGAGGGATCTGGACAGGCTGAATGGATGCACTGAGGCCAATTGCATGAGGTTTAACAAGGCCAAGTGCTGGGTCCTACACCTCGGTCCCAACAACCCCATGGAACACTGCAGGCTTGGGGCAGAGTGGCAGGAAAGCTGCCTTGGGAAAAGGACCTGGGAGTGCTGGTCGACAGCTGGCTGAATATGAGCCAGCAATATGCCCAGGTGGCCAAGAAGGCCAACACCATCCTGGTCTGTTTCAGAAATAGTGTGACCAGCAGGAGAAGGGAAGTGATCCTGCCTAGTGCACTTGGCACTAGTGAGGCTGCATCTCAAGTGCTGTGTGCAGTTCTGGGCCCCTCACTGCAAGAAAGACACAATTGCTGGAGCAAGTTCAGAGAAAGGGCAACCAAGCCAGTCAAGGGGCTGGAGAACAAGTCTTATGAGGAGAGGCTGAGGGAAAACTGGGATTGTTCAGTTTGAAGAAAACGAGGATAAGGGGAGGCCTAATAGCTCCCTACAACTACCTGGAAGGAGGTTGTAGTGAGGTGGGGGTTGGCCTCTTCTCCCAAGTAAATAATGACAAGACAAGAGGAAATGTCCCAGAAGTTGTGTCAGGGGAGGTTTAGACTAGATATTAGGAGGAATTTATTTCCTGAAAGAGTAATCAGGCACTGGAACAGGCTGCCCAGGAAAGTGGCAAAGTCACCATCCCTGGAAGTATTAAAAAGCTGTGTAGATTTGGTACTTCAGGACATGCTCTGGTGAGCTTCTTTTTTGTTTTTGTCCAGTGGGTGTGCACTGACAGTTGGACACAGTGATCTTAGAGGTCTTTTTCAACTGTGACAATTCTGTGATAGAGTTGTTGAAACATGGTAATTGGTGACATCAATCAATAGCAGAAAAAGGTAAATGCAATTAACATGCAATGCATTCAGAATACATCCTAGTTGCCTCTTTTAATCTAAAGCAAATGAAATTCAGAGTGGACTGCTGAGCTAATCCATGCCATTTAGCTATAGGAATTTAGCTGCCCTGCTACAGAGCTTCTTTTTAATCACACTTTTTCTGTCCTCAGATGCCTATTCATAGAAGGTGTTCTTTGAAAGGACATTATTAATTAATTCAGCCTCAAATGCATTAGGTGCCTCTGCCAACAATCGATTCCTGGAGGATAATTTCTATGTACTGACATTACTTCCTGTCGCCAGCCGGTGCTGGGGGCTCCCACTGTCAGGTGCTTTTGCAGCTCCCCTCCTGCCGTGGAAGGGTTTCTTGTATAAGCCCAAGGGTCACACGTGGCCCTCGCCTCTCACAGAGGAAAAGCCACCGTGGGGCCACATTTCAGGGTGGTGGTTAGAATGCACCCCCACCATGCTCAGGAATTGCCTCTAAACCCAAGGTTTGCTCCACAAACTGATCGGTTTCTTAAGGGTGAACACAAACTGAGGGATGATGTTTAGGGACAATGCAAATGGCTACCAGGGATGTAAATATGTATATAGTGAGAAGGTGTCCTTTAGGGAGGCAACGTAAAAGGTCCTGTGCTTTTAAGGGAGAGGGTTAAGGACCAAAGGGAGAAGGGGAGGAGGGAAGGAAGCCAGAGTGTCTGTGTCTGTGTCTCTGTGTGTGTCTGTGTGTCTGGCCCCCTACCAGCACATCATCTACATACTGATAGACTTTCACCTTGGAATTATTTTTGATTTCTGGAATGTTTTCCAGCTCACACGCAAGTACGTGATGAGCCAGTGTGGGTGTTTATATCCCTGGGGCAACCTTGTGAAAGTGCACTGCCCCCCATCCCAAGTGAGGGCAAAATACTTTTGGTCCTCAGGATCAATAGGGATTTGGAAGAACATATCCTTTATGTCCAGGGAGGCCAGCACTGGGTGTGCTGCTTCCTGGATTTCTACCACCAGATCAGCAATGTTAGGTACAGCAGCTGTGAGTGCATCTGTATTGGCATTCGATTTCCTGTAGTCAACAGTCATCCTCCATTTACCACTGGGTTTTCTTACAGGCCAAATTGGGGAGTTAAATGGTGAATGACAGGGCACAATAATGCCCTTTTGTTTCAAATCAGAAATTACTTCTTTGATGCCTTCCTTAGCAGTGACAGGAATGGAATATTGTCTCGCATTCGTGATCCTGCTTTGTGGCAGATGGGGAGCACCTTGTAGCAACCTCAGCTTTAGTGTGGCTGTGCCAAAATTCCAGCAGCGACCGCTGTCATCCCTCCACGCTCGGCCCACGAGAACATCCATTCCTAACAGATTGTAAGGAATGTCACCCACAATCGTTCCAGTCCAAATTGGTTCTTACCTCTCCTGGTAGATTTAAAGTGACTTCAGCTGTTTTTTGCAAACCAGAGTTGCCAAATGCTCCACTTACATATATTGGCTTTTGAGTTGGTTTAATACCACATTGTTCAGCTACATTGGCTTTCAGCGTGGAAATCTGTGCTCCTGTGTCTACCACAAATGTTACAGGATAATGTCCTGGCCCACTAGCACAGGTAAGCTCCAAGTCCCCATTTTTGTTTTAAACTAATCTTAGTACATTCTGGCAGTCCTTTGGAGGATTGGAAGCTTTAGGGCCTGATTATTTGTCAATTTCCTGTTGATCATTTTCATTTCC